AGTACTTAATTCTCATAACTGCTCTATGAGATAGGTACTATTAATTCTACTTTACTTTTGAGAAAACTGAAGCTTAGAGAGGTTAAGTACCTGCTTATAGTCTTTCAGAATAAAAAATTATCAAAAAAATGTAATTGACCAATAACCACACACACACACACACACACACACAAAAAGGAAGTGATATACAACATCCATTCTCCAGCAAAGACCTAGATCCTATAAGGGCCATTTAGCTATATCCTCATGGAAGAGATAATTCTCATTTTGTAAAATCAGTACTAGAGCACAAAAAGATGGGAAACTGCCTGACTCATTTGGAAGGCAAGCAATAAATGTTCATGGGATTGGATGATTCAATATTGTAAAGATGTCAAGTATTCCAAAATTAATCTACAGATTCAATGCAATCTCAATCAAATCTCATTAAGTTTTTTTTTTTTAAACTGAAATTGACAGTCTTTCAAGATTTATGTGGAAATACAATAAGGCAAGAATAGTGAAAAGCAATTTGAAGAAAAAGAAAGCTGAAGGGTTTTATCCAATTAGATATTAATACCTATTACAAAGTTACAATAATTAAAAAACATGGGAAAGGGCAAGATAATGACCAATGGAAAAGAAGAGGGAATTCAGAACAAATTCACACATAAAAGATACCCTGACTTGTCACAACACTACAACTCAGTGGGGAAAGAACAGTGTGTTCATTAAATGATGCCACCCAATTGGACATCCATACGGCAAAAAGAAATACAGAAAAAAACTCATATTCTTCACTTTATACCATACAAAAATCAGTTCCATGTGGATGGAAGATCTAAATGCAAGAGGTCAAGTAAAGCTTTTAGAGAAAATACCTTTGTGACGGGTAGGGTGGGCAAATATTTCTTTAAAAGCATTAACTATAAAAGAAAAGGTAATATAGCTCAGTTGGTTGAGTGCTTGCCTTGCATGCACAAAGCCCTGGGTTCAATCCCCAGCACCACAAAAAAAAAAGAAAGAAAGAAAAAGAAAGAAAGAAAAGGTAAGTTGAATTATAATAAATAAATTTAAGAACTTCTTCATTGAAAGACACTATTAACAGAGGGCAGATCTTGTATATAAGACTGAGATAAGAGATTTAAAGTATATATATCCACTAAAGGTAAAGTATATATATCCATTAAAGGTCTTGCACCTAGCATATATAAAGAATTTCTTCAACTCAATAACACAAAATAATAGAAAAATACAAGAAACTTGAGGTGGCTTCACAAAAGTGGCTTTACAATTGGCAAATAAACATATTAAACATCTTAACTTTCTTTTTTTAAATAAATATTTTTAATTGTAGATGAACATAATAACTTTATTTTATTTATGTAATGCTAAGGATTGAACCCAGTGCCTCACACATGCTAGGCAAGTGCTCTACAACTGAGCCACAACCCCAGCCCAATATCTTAACTTTCTTATCAAGGATATACAGATTAAAGCCACAAGAAGATTCCAGGATATAGCCACCAGAATGGTAAAAAGACTGAAATGAACAAGTGGTGGTGAGAACTTAACCTTTCATACATTGTTGGCAGAACACTTTGGTACAAACACTTTGTAATAACATTTGACAATATGTAAGGAGAACTTATGTTTTTCCTATGACTCAACTGATTCCACTTTGAAGTATATAGCCAACAGAAATACATTTAATAAAGCACATACCAAAAAGTTCACGGTAGCAGTATTCATAATAGTTTCAAACTGGAAACTTACCTCATGACTATCCTAAAAAAAAAAAAAATAGATTAAATCCTCATATATTCACACAGAATACTATGCCCAAATAAAAATGTTGACATCATGTGGATGAACCTCACAAAGAAAGCCAGAAAGCAAAAAAATCCAGATACAAAAGAAAATGTAAAAGGAATTGGAAAGTCTGTAAGCAAACCCCCCAAAATACGCATACACAAAAGTCATCTAGGTTAGTTACTAGAAGTCTGAATAGAACTTATGTTTGTGGTGGGGAGTAGTGACTGAAAGGAGAAGGGAGTTTCTAATTGTCCCAGTGATGTTCTCTCTCTCTCTCTCTCTGATGTTCTCTCTCTCTCTCTCTGCCATATGAGGGATTGAACCCATGGCACTCTACTTCAGAGCTACATTCCCAGCCCTGATATTCTGTTTCTTCATCTGGAAGCTGCTTACATAGGTGTGTGCAATGTGTGTACATACATCAGTCTTTTGCATACTTATGATGTATGCTTATTCTTAATATTATAATTATGGTTAAGATATGAGGTGTCCTCCAAAAGCTCATGTGTGAAGCAATGTAAGAAAGTTTAGGGGTGAAATAATTGGGTTATGAGAACTTTAATCTAATCAGTACATTAATTTCCTGATAGACATTAACTGGATGTTAACTGTAGGCAGGTAAGGTGTAGCTGGAGGAGGTGGGTCATTGGGGATCCATCTTTGGGTTTTCTATTTTGTCTGTGATAAGAGGAGCTGTCTCTGTGCTTCCTGGCTTTCCTGTCTTGAGTTCCTTTCCTCCTCCACGCCCTTCTGCCATGATGTGCTGCACAGAGCAATGGAGTCACTGTCTATAGACTGAGACCTGTGAAACCATGAGCCCCATATAAACTTTTCCTCCTCTAAAATTGTTCTTGTCAGTTTTTTGTCTATATCAATGAAAAAACTCACTAAAACAATACAAATTAATGTGTATTACTTAGAGTAAATAAGCAGCAATTGGAATTTTTTTCCCTACATTTTAATAAAGGCTTAATAGTATTTGAAGAACTCATGTAAATCATCCATCCATCATCCCTTCCTCCACACCCCAATTGATTAGAGAGCCTTGAGCATGCTAAGCAACAAAGTAGGCAGGAGGCACTCTACCCCTGAGCCATATACCCACCCCAGTTCCTAAGTCAATTTTTAAGAAGCTAAGCTGGGTATGATGTAGCTCAAGGTAGGAGGAATGCTTACCATGTGAGAGACCCTGGGTTCAATCTCCAGCATTTGCAGGAAAAAAACGGGGGGTAGCATCAAGTGGACAAATGAATGAAGAGAATCACTCAAGCAAAGAAATAAAAATAGCTAATAAATGTATAAATACCCAAAATGTAAATCAGAACAATGGAATGCAGTTTTTGCCTATCAAGCTCCAAAGATTAAAGGAAACTAACAAGGTTGGTGATAATAATTTGATAAAATTAATACTTTCTTATTCCTAAAAGAAATGTGAATTGGCATAACCTTTCTTAATAAATCTTAAAATGTTCATGTTCTTTGACCTACTAGATCCTAGAAAATATTCTAAGGAAAATCAGAGTTTCAGTAAAAGATGGACTTATATCAGGTTTGACTACTACAGTATTTTGAAACAATCTATTCATAAAGGGAAACTGGTTATGATATGTTACATGATGGGATAGCATATTAACAATCATGTTTTCAAAGAGTGATGAGTAGAAAAAGATGTATGATAAATTAAGTGAAAAAATATATATAAAATTCTACGTGTATATGTTTTATGTTAACAAATCTCATACACATTAACATTCATTTGAACAAAAAGTCTGTAAGAATACATAGCATATTGTCAGTAGTGGCCATCTTTGGGTGGTGGGAAATGGGTCATTTAATTTTTTTAGTTGTGTTTATTTTCCACAATAAAATGTTCTTTGAGCATTTATTACTATTATATTCAAAACTCAAAGAATAATGGGCTAAAAAATATGGTTACCAGTTTCCCCTGCTCTAGAAATCTAAGCAACCCAGATTTCTCCCTCCTTCAACTCCCATATGCAATTGAAAATGCCTATCCAAAGCATTATTCCATTATTTCTTCTCTCGTTTCCAAAATTTAGTGAACTCCTTGCACCCAGATTCTACTTTATAGTGAAATGGCCACATTTCCCACAATTTCTACATTGTGGAAACATCAAACCACTTTACACAGTGAACTGCCACACCCCAGCCCCTAAAAATGCACACCAGGTACTTCCACATCTCCCACCCTAGGCATACTCAGAGCTCTTCTCCTACGATATCTTTTCTCCCTTCCATCTTCCTAATTCGATTCATAATTCAAGATTCATCTCGGATCTCGTTTACCGGGTATAGTTCTTGGAGGCTGCAAGAAGAGACAGCCGTTTCCAAATTAATCTTCCAATGACAGTTGAACATGTCAACATTTAACATTCCGCAGTTAGTTCCTCATTATCTTGTTGTATGGCATGGGGTCATTTTCCTTTTCTTAAAATCTAGGATGAGCTAAAGCACACATATGCAATGCATATAAACAGCGATGTGAATTTTTACCTGACAGAAAAATGGTATCAAAAAAACTCGCCTGATTTTTTTTTTTTTTCATTCAAGATGGCAGAGAACGCCTTGAAATAGTCCTACACAAAAGCACTGATCCGGAGCCTTGATTTCAAAACTGGCTACACCTCGCGAAATAGCAAAGGACAAAAGAATGGAACCTAGATGCTAAGGCGCCCCAGCCCTAACCACTCACTGCAGGTCCCACACCCATAGACTAATCCATGCCAGAAAAGTGGCACCTGCTGCCTTCATTTTGGGAACCACACCTAGACGGTGAACAGTGACCCAAGGCACTATTGGATAGCGACCCAAAAATTCAAGGATGTAAAAGGGGACAGCAGAATTGTAATAGTATCTGGAATGCACGTTCCGGCCCCGCCCAGGAACAGTCCCCCCGCGGTGCTTTAGTCTCGTGGAAGGAATGGACTGGGATCCCGCCCTAGGGTCGGGCAACCCCTCTCTGACAGGGAATTCTGGGCGGGCCTGAGAACGAGGCCGAGGCGCTTGGGGCTACACCTGTCAGGCTGCGGCCAATACTAGGCCCCAAAATCGCTGGGGTTGGGTGGTCCAGGCCGTCAAGAGCGCGTCAGTCGATCCCTCGCCCTGGGATCGCCCAGTCTCCTTTGCTTTCCCTTTCGTCCTTCTCAAACAAAGGCAACCCACACCCACCGCCATTTTCCCTTTACCTCAAAAACCACCTCTTCGTCAAACTCCGGTGTCATCCTTCTCCGCCATGCCACCCGCCTCAGCACGATGGGAAATGAAGGCAGGCAGGAGAACAGGCGTGCACCGAGGCTTCTGCTCTTGCCCGTCCCGTAGGTCTTGACAACTACAATTCCCAGCATGCCTCGCAGCTCACGCCCCCTTTTTTCGTCCGCTTATTGGTGCAGAGGGTCAGCGTGGGGGCGGGGGCAGAATGAAGTTCTAGCTCTTCGATTGGAAGACGCTGAGGCTTTTGTCTGCCTTTTACGGCCGCGACTAACAGGGGGCGCCCGCCGCACTGATAAATTTTTTTTTTGGAGTTTGAGAGGGGCGCGCGCCAGCTGAGCCGCGGTGAGTTCTGCTCGTGCCCGTGCCTGGCCGTCTGCCCGGAGCGCGGCAGGGCGGCGCTCGTGCTCGCCCGCCTGCTACCAGCGACTCGCGCCCGGGAGCGCAGTAGGGTAGCTGGAGCCGGCTGCATCCTTTGTGCGGCGCTCGGGTTTCGCCGCGGTGGCACGGGACAGAATGTGGGCTCTGCGGGGGCTTTTCTCTTCTGCCCAAACTCTGAAAACAATGGAGTGAAAGGGGAACATGGATTGAGGGGAGAGAGCGGGGAGGCGAGCTGCTCTGGGAAATCATGACTTCTGCCGCCGGTAAGTGGCCGCGCTCGCGCTGTCGCTGGAAAGTTTGTAAGGAGCGCTTTCCAAGCTGGGGCTCTCCGGCAACTTTCTCCGATAGGGTGGGAGAGTCGCGTGGCCTGTACCTTTCCCTAGCATCTCGGCAAATTGCGAAGCGAATGGGGTTTGCTGCTCGATTCACTCGTCCCTTCCTTCAGAGAGGGCTGTTGGACCTCTTGGGACTTCCCTTCAAAGGGAGACCTGTGCTGGGGGCTCTTAACTCCAGGTGAAACGCGCAATGGAAAGAGAGCATTTGCTCATTTCTCCTACAGTTGGAGTGACTTTGTTTTTGCGTGTGAGGGTAGCATAGGTTCCCCTATTAAGAAATCATTTATTCTAGGAAAGGGCAGTGTTCCCAGAGTATTGAACTGAGCCACTAGAGTGAGTCGCTTTAAACCTAGGGTGGACTGAAAACCCTTTCCATTTCTTATAAAAGAGGTTTAAATATTGTTGCTCATGTCCTCCTGGTTTTACTCCTGATAACCTGAGTGTACAGTGGGATTGCCTCTGGAAATGCTCATCTTCACTCCATTTCTTCTGGGATTTTCTCCCCCCTAGTTCTACCTGCTTAGTGTAAACAAAGCCTTGTTTTCTGTCTGCTTCCTATAGGCTTTTCCCCTTATTCAAATGACAAAGCCTCTATTTTACCTTTGTGTGGATTTCCATCCATGGTGGACAATATATTGCTGAACATTCTAAGGAACAAGTTTTATTTTACAAAATAATTACCAAAGTGGTGATACAGTCATTTCATAAGAACATGGGTTAATTTTAAAACCAGCCACTTAATAATGTATTAAGTGTTGTTGTTTTTTTTTTTTTACCTTTGTCTATGTTGAAAGAAACTTAGAAATTTTATAATCAAATAGTTTGAATCTTCTCCTAAAAGTTACTTGTAGATTCAGCACCTAAGTATCATGTTAAATTCTGATTGCTTTTCTTGGCATTTGTTTAAAATTCCTGCAACCTGAAACTGCACTCTGATATATATTATCTCTAAAGCCTAGATATACTGGAGTGTTGGTTTGCTAGGAATAATCAGATTACAACTAATGAGGCAAGAAGTTAGCCAATAGAAATAAGAAACCAAGAAGTGAAATATTTCTGTAGAAGATTTTGTGGATTTTTTTCCTTTTTGATGTTATGTGCAACGTACATGAGAAATGTCATAAAGCTCTATTGTAATTATTTATAAGCTTTTATTTATTAAGGAAAGCTTATATTGTATTATTTTCATCCCAAATTTCTGTGCCTTGTCAAGGTTTCTTTAATGACTGAACCAATATAATTAAATTAAAAGTGCTTAGCAATTTTACAATCCTTCCAGCCATGTATAGTTCTTCCCTTCTTTGTGGGGTCAAAAATATTTAAAATATTCATCATATGAGTATCAGTGTTCAATTTTAGTCCTAATACTTTATAGTGAACAGGTACAGAAGCATTTGACATTTATATATGTAAACTTGATTTCTAGGGCCCAGTCTGAAAGTTTATGATTCTTTCATTGGAATTACCCTAAAGTACTGCAAGCTATTTTTATATTTGATCAACTTTACAACTAAAGAAATCCACGGACATTTTTGTGGTGTTTTTGAAAGAGGGACACTTCCTGTGTATAGCTGAGTTAGTTGGTTTTTGGTATGGTTCTCTGAGAAGCATTGGCTATTTTTTTTGCTCACCCTCTGATAAAATTTATTATTATTATTATGTCTAGATTATGAAAGAGAGCTGGGGTTTAATTCTATCCCATCCTTATAAAACTACATATATATTGTTCTTATACGCTAACCTGCAAACACATAGTGCTTTTTTGGCATAATAGTTAGATTTTAGGAAAGTTATTTATATTTTGCAGGCAGGGGTGTTTGTTTTGAATCTAATCTATTGCATTTGGGAGCGTTGTTTTAATTTAAGAAAGTAGAGGAATGTTGTAGAACATCCAAGTTGTATGTATACTGAAGAAGAGCTTGCTTTGCTTTTTCTACATCTATGGAAGAATTGATGCTCAGTAGAGTTTAGAATTATTCAAAGCAGTATGTGAAAAAGGTGAAGTAATTATTGGTGTATGTCTTGTATCTTTTTGAACGTGTATAAGTTATTGTCTCATTAATGTCTGTGCTTTGCATTTTATCTGACCCAGTAGCCAAGAGAGAGTGCAAGTGAGCCACAGCCATCTGTGTGTAACAGAAGACAAGTTTGTTTGTAATAGTAAAATTGTATTAGTGTTTCACTTTCTTACCTTATATTTCCCTGGAGCCAAACAGCTGTGTAAATAAAAGATTTGCTACATTGCTCTAAAGAAGCTTTGGGGTTGACTGTTCATACTGTATTAAAATCCAAAGGTGCTGAATTCATTTCCAAACATTATGCGCTTATTTCAAGAGTTTAATATTGTGGCACACCATATTATAATGTCTTGTTTCTTCTAGTTGTGTTTCTTTCAAAATAGAGCCATTAAAAAATAATAATGAAAGATTTTGTATATTGCAATACCAGTGACATAGTTGAACCTTTGTTTCTATTAATCATTTTAAGGAATTATTCACTAATGCTATTGGTTGATTCTACTTACTTTTCAAACTATCATGTGAGGTTAAAATGAATATTGATTATTTTTTAAGGAATTTCCTGTCACTGAGACATAATAATGAGTATATTTATGTGTTAGCTAAGAGAAAGTAGCAACCTGCTGGAGCTTGCCTTCTAGTGGCAAAGACAGACAAAGGTGTACTGAAGAAAAATAACACGGGACAGAGAGGCTACAGCATATCCGGGTTCTCCAAAGTAGATATCTGTGAAGTACAATCTTCATAGATCTTTCAAGTCACCCACTTAAAAGTAGGGAAACTGAGGCAGCCAGTTCTGCAAAAGCACACAATTAGGTCAGCCAGTTCCTGAGTTACATTATTGACTCCCTTTAATACACAGGTAACCAACAATGCTAAGCCCAAGTTCACAGGTGTTTGCTTAATTCAGTGAGTATACATTAAGGGCTTAAGGAGCATAATGCTGAGCTCTACTTTTGGAAATCAACCTCAGCTCATATGTGGTTGATTTAATTTCTATGACACCAAGAGAGAATAAGAATTTATGTCTCTTAGAAGAAGACTCAAAGAAAAGACTGAAATTGGTACCAGAGATTTTTTAAAAGAATGATTCAGCTAAAAAGCAAAAATGGTTGGTTAATTACACTGAAACTTCTCACAAGGCTCTAAAGGTCAAAAAGTAAAAGATTAATTAGATGAGATTATTTTTTAAATTGTGGTAAAATACACATAACTTTATCATCATAACCATTCCTAAGTATACAATTCAGAAATAAATGTTAAGTACATTGTTGGGTAGCCTCATCTCCAGAACTCTTTTCATCTTGTAAAAGTGATTTTTTGAATTCTATCAAAAATCCCAGAGGTAGGATGTTTCAAGGATGACAGAAATGAAATCAACATGACAGTCTGTTTCTTTTTAAGATAGGAGGTTAGGAAAAGTCCTATGGAATTCACACTTTCTCTGAAGATTTAACTTGATTGATTGACAGTTTAATGGACCAATCAGCATTATCACTAGACTTTGAAGGGTTTTGCAAAATTATTTTCTGCCTTAAAAACCCTCAAGAATAATAACATGCTTATTGAACAGATAAATGAAAATTGCCTACTTTGGGAATTTGCTTTACTAGGGATCAAACCCGGGGGTGCTTTACTACAGAGCTATATCCCCAGCCGTTTTTATATTTATTTTGAGACAGGGTTTCACAAAGTTGACTAGGCTGTCCTTGAACATGAGATCCTTTTGTTTCAGCCTCCCAGTCTCTGGGATTGCAGACACACCCCCATCCTCTCTGTAGAATTTTTCATTGTTTTGAAAATTCATTATCCTCCTTAATTTTGATAATATTATATCAAGAAATTGGGTGAGAAGATATCTGTTATTGTATAATCTTGGTTGTGCATATAGTATTAGAGGTTTGGGAATTTCTTTCCTGGTTGGGAAAAGGAAGTAGAGTACCCTACTTTTTTTTTTTTTTAACTTAGTTCCATGTAATATTTTTCCAAACGTTGTGACTAATTTCCTTTGTTGAAAAGAAAATCAACACAAAATGAAATATCATAGCCTCTGTGTGTTCAAGTAAATTAACAATGTCCAGTAGTTTTGTGCAACAGATATTTGAGAAAACATTTTTTTCCCCTAATAAGTAAGGTTTTTATTAAGTATTAAATCCTGGTAAAGGAATAGGCATAATTATAAGAAGTACAAGATAAAACATGTTTCACCTCAGGTTTCCTTGGGTAAATATGGTTGATAAGTGACAGTTTATGTGGGAGATCTTTAAAAAAAATTAAGAAATACAGATATACGGTCTTTATATACCTTTTTATTTAATAGGTCTTTTGTGTAAAGCTGTTATCAAGTTCCTATATGCCAGGAACAGGTCTACACAAATC